TATATATTTGTGTGTGTGTGTGTGTTTTCACACACCCACTAGCCCTATTTAGCTAAAAATTGGATCTTTTAATTTGGAGATTTTGTATTTTTTTGTTGAGGGATAGTTTGGATTGGAGCTTTTCATCTGACTATATAAATAGAGGTGTATATTCACATATACACTAACCCTATTTGGCTAAAAATTGGATCTTTGTTTCTTGTTAGGGATAATCTGTATTGGGTTCTTGATTAGAATTCAAATATAAAGAATGGAGGAGTCTGAAAAGAGAAAGGAGAAGCTGCAGAGGCTGGAGATAATTCTGAAGTACAAAAATCTATAGGGGAACCCCTTGGTGATGGCCTTACCAATCCATTAGTTGAATCCCCTTCAGCTTCACAACCGTGTAACACGCCTCGTCCAAGTAATTACATTTTCTTTCTTGAAAGTTTTAATATATTCATGGATGCTTGTTGTTATAGGTACTGATATTTCACAACTTGTCGGAGGATATATTGGATAATGGTAACTCTAGATCACTTAAATAAGGAACAAGATCCTATTCTCGAGGAAAGGAAGCTTAAGAATAGTCATAAAGACCCTCCTTTACTTTTTCAGATTATTAATATAAAGATTAGGTTTAAGAGTGAAAGGGACGAAGACGAACTATTATGATGTTGCTTGAACCTAGTGCTCGGGAGGTTGTGCTTGATTGAAAACATAATGGCAGGAGTACTTGGATGGACATAGTTTTCGATAGATATAACTGAGGCATATAAGTAGAAGATGGAAAAGTGTTAGACCTTTGCTTCAACCCCCACCCTCTCCCCAACCCAAGGAAAGAACAAAACCTCATTGTAACTTTAAAAAAATGAGAAACAATAGTTCACTTAGCAGCTTAATCTTTTACTCAGAAAAAGGAAGAAAAGAGAGGTTAACTCACTTAGCGACAGATTCTCGTCAACATGGGGAGGGTGATGAATATATATATACATAGTTGTGCTGTGCTTATTGATCAGGATGGTATGTGTCAAAACAAAAGCTGATTGCTACTAATGCTGCCAAAGGTCTTGACGAAGTTCTCATAGATTTGATCTCATTTTGGGTAGGATAATGGCTCTGTTTGTATAAATTTGAGGAGAAAATATTTAAAAGAAAAGAAAATTAATTACGGGTGAGATCAACATCAGCGATGCTGCTCCTTTCTTATAAAGAGATACAATTTGTATTTAGCGAAGAAGCTTATGCAAAAACAAATTGTATCACTTTAGGATGAAATGTATCCTCTTTTCTAGAACTTGGAGTGGATTCCTTTAGCCTCTCTCCCGGAGAGAGGTCGGTTTGTCTGAAATGATTTCTGATGCATATTGGAGATAATATTATTCTGCAATCGGCATAACTTTTGCAAATGACAAACATTCTATTAGCATGAAAAGTAAGGGATATGAATCTGAAAAAGGATGATATTGAGACGTCCTCTTAGTCAGAAAGGTATATAGTAGGTGCGAATTGGAATGATTCTAATGGCATAGCGGGACTCCGGCCCTTCCCCAGGCCCCGCGCATAGCGGGAGTTTAGGGCACCGGGCTGCCCTTTTTTATTCTAATGGCAGTAATTTTGATGTACTAGCTTTGGTTCAACAAATACTGTCATGTGGAATAGTCACTTTGCTATGTTCTTTGCATTTATGTAGTGTATATAAATCTTGACCCTTGTTTACTCTACTTTTTTTTTCAGGACCAATGAATGCCGGTTCTCCAGCTTATCATGCTCAAGGCAAATATAACTCAGCTAAAAGAACGTACCAGCCACGAGGAGTCAATGCCATTCCTCTTGGGATCCGTAGGAAAACTAATCCCGTTTGTACACCACCAGGGAACTCCTCTAACACTTTGGATAGCTCTCTTGGCACACCTAACAACTACTCTCCGCCTAATTCACCGCAAATTGGCGACATTTCCAGTGATTGCTTTCCTCAAGGAGGTGGAGGTGGAGGTGGTAGCCAATATGGACAAGGCAGCCCCTACCAAGGTTCAGGATTCAAAGGCAGTCATCACCGAGGTTCAGGTCAAAGCAAGGGTCTATTGAAAGTTTACTATCACAAGTCAATGGTGCAAGACCCATGGAAACTATTGAAGCCAGTTATTTGGAAGCCACGTGGAGATACACGTGACTCTTCGAATTCATGGCTTCCAAAATCCAATATCTCAAAGAAGGCTAAACTTGGAGAAACTCCAACAAAATCCACACCCCAGCAAAGCCTCACTGAATACCTTGCTGCCGCATTTACTGAAGCAGCTGGCAAAGACACTGTGAATTATGAATCCGGCACATAAAGCTTTGTGATGCTTGGAGTTTTTAGTTATAATTATGTCTCATACTCCTGTAATTACTGCAAATAGCAAGTTGAGCTGTAGCCTAAGACCATATTTCTGTACAGTTTCCTGCTCATTTTATGTTATCATCGACACCTAGTAAGTTTCAATCGTTGTTTTGCTTTGATTCACTATTGGAGTGTGGCAATATTGAACAGATTTTATGCACCCAGGTTTGATTTTTATTTGGATTAAGCACTAGTCAGAGCAAGTAATATGGAGTTTAAAGAGGAGGAAGTTTCCTCCTTTGATGGAGGGAAAACATCTTCATATTACCAAACACCTCATGGAAAACATTTTCCTGAAAAGTAACTTCAGCTATACCAAATACTGAGAATTTTTCTGTCCGTCTCCTTTGTCATNATATATATATATATACAAGTATCAAAGTCTGAAGAAATCTCCCAAGATTACTTATATCCACAAACATTGGATCATGAAGAAGGTTTCCCATCATTCTGGAAATGTTATCCTTAAATAATAAGTAACTAAACAAATTCAACCCTCTAGCATCTCTAGATATTACATTTGCGGATACGATTCACAAGAAAAAAAATTCAGAACATAAGTTGTCAAAGATTGGTTAGTAGGATCATCAACGGTGTAAATTTTCAAAACGACGTGCTTTGTATTTCCCTAGCTAATTTCAGAAGGTAGATGTTTGTTTAATGCCAGAATCTACTGCAGAGCTCATGTCGGGCGACTTTCTGCTCCCTGCATATCTCATCCATGAACGTATCCATAAGTTGCCCCGCCATACTTGAATGGTCGTCGATAAAGGTGTCTATGAAAACTCTAACTACCTTTCTCTCTTGTGTTGTGGCTTTCAAGCTGAACCAAGTCAAGAACTTCACTCTGAAATCTGTTTCTATCAACCCTTCATGCTCCAACTTTCTGATGATTCCTACAGAGTACTCGTAATCACTCAATTGTGTTTCCTTTGACCCATCAGTTTGGCAAGGAGTGGCTGGAGCACTTGAAACTGGACTTGCTAAAGGAATGAGCATCTTCGAAAGAGGGGATGTAGGAAATGCATTGGCATTTGGATCATAAGTTGTTAGTTTGTTGTCAGTAGAACTCATTGACTCGGCATGCATCACTGTACTATCTGTAGTAGCATGTTCTTTCTCCCTTTGTACTTCATCAGAACCCGACTTACAGCTCGTGTGCACGGCAGGTGTTACCCATGTTACTTCCTGAACCCCCAAAGTCGTTGTCTTGCTGAAGAAAGAAACCTTGCAGAAGTACTGCATGGAAGGATCAAGACCGTCCAGCATAAATCTCGTCGCAGGGCTTAGTGCAATAAAAGTTGCTTCATCTGGATATTTGTCTGCAATGGACTTTCGATACCACAATTTGAAGCCTATTAGTTCTTTCAGCATACGATCATCATATTTGAAGACAATGGTTACTTTAGACGGAGAAAGCTCCTCAAAGTGTATCCGGCAAGCTGTCAGAGTGTTCAATAAAAGCAAATTATGAAATTAGTAGTCCACAGAATGAAAGATGAAGAAGACTATGGTTATATGTCAGTTTGGCTGGCCTCCAGATTGAAGTAGTGAACATAAAAATCTAGGTTTAGTTGTTGGAACTTCTTGCAAAAGCTTCAGTTTATTTGATAGAACTCAACTAGTATATCCCGTAAAATAATAGTCAAAGTTTAACGAGCTTGAACAAATAAAGAAACAATTGCAGTGATCCAACGAATATGAAACTTTTCTTGTCAAATATTAGACTATCATAACCGGCACAGTAGTAGAGCTATTGAAATGCAGATATTCAATAATAAATTGACTAAGAATACTCACGCATCAAATGCTCTTCCTTTGTCATAGGATTAAAGTGTTGGTTGGGAAACATGGAATCAAAAGCTTCCACTGCAGAACCACACAGCTTCTGAACTGCGGTACCACAAGAAAGCCTGTTCACTATCCTGCGATCCATCTTCTCTGACGCCTGTGCAAGAGGCCCTACTTCGTTCTTCAGCATCTCAACAGCCAATTCAACAAGTTTCAGCAGTCCTTTGTATTTCTCAGTTTTCTCCAGGATCTTATGGCTTAGAGAGATTCTTAAACACAGCACATCAACTCTTCTCGCCTCCTTCGCTGTCATCAATTGTTTTCTCAAGGTTCTAAATCAACTCAGACAAGGTTAGTTCAATTAAAAGATACTCCACTGAAAGAAAAAATTAATAAAAAAGAGAAATCACATTTTTCCCTGCTGATGTATGCCCACCGAAACAATCCCTATCAGTTAATGATTTTTGCAGGGTACGGATCACTTGTACAACTATCTTGGGCAAATCAGAGCTATTATACAGAAAATATAGGCCATTCTATAGTTTTTTTAATGAAAAAAAATCTCTGTATTAATGAGGGTGTATAAGTTCCATTACTTCCTAAATCAGACTTCACTGAATATTTCCAAAAAGAAAAGAGCATGCAGACGAGGGATCAGTAGTTCCAAAGAAATCACTGTTGGAGCAAAGCATGATTAAATTAAGAAAAACAATTTTACAAGACCGTGTACAATCCATATTCTTGGATCTACAACAACAATAACAACAACATACCCAGTGTAATCCCACTGTTGCGGAAGCCAAATGTATATAGTGTGAATGAGTCACAACTACTATACCAAAAATTATGGCAGCCACCAAATAATAAATAAGACAATAAAACAACAATAAAAGGAACACCAGAATTTACGAGGTTCGGCCAATTTCGCCTACTTCCTCGGACACAACCAATATTTTATTCCACTCCAAAATACAAGTGAAATAATACTAAAGAGAGAAATACAAATATCTTAAAAGGATAAGAACGCAAATGAGAGGTGTGTTTAAATCCTAAACATTAGGTCTCCTTTTATAGGGAGAAATTCTCCTCCAAATGAAGTCCCCCACCGATGTGGAATGAACTTTTGACATATTCAACAAATCTCCACCTTGGCAAAATTCCACATCTTCAATTTTCTCTTAATAACAAATTTTGGTTGTGTCTTCATCTTCAATCTTCAGTGTTCAACAATGTTGATCAAATTCAAACAATGTTGAAACTTGACCGCAGTCACCACTTTTGTCAGCATATCAGCAGGATTNATACCGAACATCAATGTGCTTCGTCCTTGCATGATAAACTTGGTTCTTCGCTAATTGAATAGCACTTTGACTATTACAAAAAATGTGATATTTTTTTGTTCAACACCAAGCTCCTTTAGCAACTCCTGAAGCCAAATTGCCTCCTCACAGCCTCTGTAATAGCCATGTACTCTGCCTCTGTTATAGACAAAGCAACTGTTAACTGCAAAGTAGACTTCCAACTAACTGGTGCCTTTGCAAAAGTAAACACATAACCAGTAGTTGATCTTCGTTTGTCCAGGTCACCCACAAAATCTGAGTCACAATATCCAACAACAGACTGATTGTCTTCCTACTCAAAAACTAACCCAACATCTACAGTATTATGAATATACCGTAGAATCCACTTCACAGCTTGTCAATGCTCCTTTCCTGGATTATACATATATCTGCTAATAACTCCAACAACTTGTGAAATGTCAGGTCTCGTACAGACCATTGCATACATCAAGCTACCAACAGCATTTGCGTATGGTACCTTTGACATATACTCTTGCTCAGCTTCATCTTTTGGCGACATAATAGTACTTAGCTTAAAATGGGGAGCAAGTGGAGTACTAACTGGCTTAGTCATCTCATCTATGCCAAAGCGTTGTAGTACTCTCTTCAAATATTCTTTCTGAGATAAACAAAGTTTCTTTGAACGTCTATCTCTTATTATCTCCATGCCAAGAATTTTCTTTGCCTCACCCAGATCCTTCATCTTGAATTCCTTCTTTAGTTGAATTTTCAACTTATCGATTTCTTCCGAATTCTTGGAAGCTATAAACATATCATCAACATATAGGAGAAGATATACAAAG